CCTCCCCTCCCCCCACCCAACGTGTGGCCTGCGGGGACTTGGGACCCGGAAGCGACCTTCCCGTTCTCAGGCCCTCCTCTCATTTCCAGATAGGGAAACTGAGGCCCAAGGGGATAGGCATGACTTGCCCAAGCTCATCTGGCTAGTTAGGGGCGCGGCCGGGGAGGCACGCCGGTGTCACGGTCAGGCGCTGGGCACCTGGGGTGGCATTGCCGCTGGCTGTCTTCCTGGGTCTGGCCGGCTTCGCCTCGTTGGGAAAACTGGGGACGCTCGTAGAGCCTGCTGCCCAGGCACCGTGGGAAGGTGAAATGAGCCGGTGCACCTCAAGGTTCCTGGGCCCGGCACAGAGTCCGTTCTCCATGGTGGCTCGTGTTCGTGTCGTTGTTCACCTTCTGATCGTCCTCTTTTCTCTTCAGGCGCCCTGCTCTTCAGGGAGGTCATGTGTTGTAAGTAATTTTTACGCACGGGAGCCCTCGCACGTAGTCGGTGTTGCTGGGCATCAGGATATTGGTTTTTGACGTTGGTTATGAAATGAGGAAACGAACAGTAGGGCGCAAATGACACGATTGTGACAGGCTTCCAGCGTAGCTGCTTCTTGATTTTGCCGAGTAGTTCTCTGAACCCCACTAGCCGGAAAACCGTCAAGGCCGTGCCCTGGCATGAAGATAGAAAAATAAATTATTTCTAGAAGGCAAAACCTTTCTGTACCCTCATTCAGATTTGCCAGTTGATGCTATTTACAAAAAAAGGAGTAATTTTCACTCTCAATTCTCTAAAAGTTTTGTCATCCTTTATTCTATGTGGGTAAATCTGCTGTTCGTCTTTTGAATTACACCCAGTTACCTTGGAGCACGAAGAATAACAGGCTAAATGCATAACGGGCTTAGTGACAATTGCCTCTCACAAAAACTTGGTGTTTTAGTTTGCCATTATATGTAATTCTTCTCGTAGACTTTATTTTTGACACTTCTGCTTGAAAGCCCTAAACTGTCATAAGTAATACACTTGAGTGTGTTACCTCAGAGGTGCCTGATAAAACACCTAGGAGTCTCAGGGTAAAACAAGCTGCATATTTATTTGTGAGTCTACCTGACACAGAAAGCAGTTTGGTTTTAATTAAATCACGTATGAGTAAGTGAGTGAATGGGGGAAATGATTTGTTTCAGTTCACTAGTCAGGAATATTAACAGTAGCAATAGTTGCAGTAGTTATGAGCACTTTAGTTCTGTTCTGGTGCTTTTTGTGAATTAACTCGCACAACCTTGTGAGGTCAGTGCTGTTATTACCACTAGCATTTGACAGTGAGGAGTCCGGGACAGAGAGGTTAGGTTATCTACCCAGGGTCTTACAGCTAGGAAATGGAGGTGCCAGGGTTGGAAGCCATGCAGCAGCTTGTATTGTCTCAAAATGAAATGCTCTCTGTGGGTTCTGGCCTTACAGGGAAGGATTAAGATGTTCTTTGGCCTGAAAAAGCAGCTAATTTATATACTTATGTTTATTTTTTATTTCATGTATCTCCTGCTACACTGTGAGCTTCCTGAAAGCCATTCTGTTTCTCTTGCTTACCTCTGTATTCTCTGCAATAAAGCACTATGGCGAGCTTAATTGTAATTGGTTGAATGAATGAATGAATGAATGAATGACTTAATCATAATGGAAGGGATCTCTAAGGAATCATTTTTGCCCCCTCCTAGCCCCATGGCAGCTTCTGAGCTTATTAATATAAGTGTTTGTTTTTTATCGTCTCCTCCTTTGCCAAGGAACAACTTGGTTTAGGAAAACTAAATTCTACACATAGTTTAAAACTCTTTCTCTTTTAATCATCACCATTTTCTGAGGTAAGAGTTGTTTTTATTCCCCTTTTTTGGAGGAGGAAACCAGTTTAGGGAGGTTCAGCCTCGTCCCAGTGATGTCCCACCAAAAGAGACAAGGCCACACAGCCTACTTGAACTGGGACCCGGCCATAGCCCCTAAGAAGTGTGCTGCAGTTTCTCCCAGAAGTGCCCAGCCACAGTACGCCTTCCCTCCCGGGACTGCCTCTCTTAAAAATGTTCTCTGGTTCCTTTTGAACAGGGGTCCCTAACCTCTGGGCACCAATTGGCACCTGTCCGTGGCCTGTTAGGAACTGGGCTGTACAGTAGGAGGTGAGCAGCGGGCCTGCTGATGAAGCTTCATCTGCACGTAGAGTGCTCCCCATCACTCACATTACTGCCTGAACTCAGCCTTCTGTGAGATCAGCTGTGGCATTAGATCCCATGGGAGTGCAAACCCTACTGTGAACTGCCCATGCGAGAGATCTAGGTTGCACGCTCCTTGGGAGAATTTAATGCTTGATGATCTGAGGTGGAGCTGAGGAGGTGATGCTATTACTGGGGAGCACCTGCAAACACAGACTAACATGAGCGGTGAGGTTTAACTGCACAGAGACCATAGGAAATCAGTTGCTTGCAGACTCCTATCCAGACCCTATCCTTGAGTGGCAAGTGAGTTGCTGTACTTCAGTTGTATAACTGTGTCTGGCGGCAGGCTTTAAGTCAGAATCTGACACTTATTTTAGTTCACATGTGGCCCGCCCTTTATTTTATTTACCACTTCCATCCGTGCCTCCTTTTTTAAATGGTAAATTGTATAATTATTTTATTACATATTACAGTGTAATAATGATAGAAATAAAATGCACAATAAATGTCATGTGCTTGAATCATCCCCAAATCCCATTCCTCGCCTTGCCACTGTCCATGGAAAAATTGTCTTCCATGAACCCAGTCCCTGATGCCAAAAATGTTAGAGAGTGCTGCTTTAGAAAGTCCCATTCAACAGTGTGCTTCAGATGTGCTTGAGAGGACAGGGACTGGAAGTCGCTGATCCGAAGCTTGGAAAAGAGTAAATCGACAATTTCTAGATTGATTACCAGGATCTGGAATTGGGGAGGTTTCACATTAATACTGGATTTCTGACTTTGAAACAGATCCTAAGATATGCTGACACTGGGCCCCCAGGGTCATGAGGCCCGTGGGCTGGAGAGAGAGGCAGCCTCACCTTGAGCAAGGCCAGGGGTTCTGCACTTGCTCCTGTGCCCATCGGTCCTGTTGTGCTCTGTGATGTTAACTGCCAGCCCCCATTGGTATCTTTGTGATTCCCGATTCACCGTAGTATCATTTTCTAGTTATAATCTTGCAGTTTTCTACCAACCTTGATCTTCCTCCCATCTTCTTTGCCTTTTTGGGAGGTAGGGTACAGATTTGATCTGCCTGCAGTGGATTGCATTCCAGGGATATAAGTAAAGCTTAGAATTGATGATGGAACATTATGAGAGATACACGAATTTTATCACTGTATTACAAATATAGTTTAATTCCAGTTAGTTACTGAAAAGGGATCTTTTTTTTGTTGCATTTTATTTCTTTCAGACTTAACTCCAGAAAATATTGTCAAGGGAAAAGAAGACAGAATAATAGCATGATGAAGCATACTTTTTGATGAAATTTCTCTTTACGAAAGTGAAATAATTTAGTGTTTTTCATGCTGGTCTGTTAAGAACTGCCTGAGGCATTTGTTAAAAATTCAAATTTTCAAGTTCTCTTTGGAGTCAGCAGGTTCCTGGTAGAACCTGGACATCCATTTGTAGCAAGTGCTCCCATGGCTACTATAATCAGGCAAATTTGGGACCTTGGGCTTCATGCTTGGGATTGTAGCGCTTTTTTTGTTTTTTGTTTTCTTCTGACTCCTGGTCTTTTTTCATCTTTTGTATTTTTGAGTCAGGGTCTCACTCTTTCTCTCAGACTGGACTGCAGGGGTATAGTCTTGGTTCACCGCAGCCTTGATCTCCTGGGTTCAGGTGATCCTCTCTCCTCAGCCCTCTGTGGTACTACAGACACGCATCACCACTAATTTTTTTTATTTTGTAGAAATGAGCACTCCCTGTATTGCCCGGGCTGGTCTCGAAGTCCTGGACTCAGGTTGTCCTCCTGCCTGGCCTCCCAAAGTGCCACTGCACCCAGCCTGTAGCCCCTTTTTTGTTATGGCCTAGCATCAGGTTTCTTCTGAGAGTATTGGTGCATTTTTGTTCTTTCAGTATATACTATTGAAGCAAGTGCATCGAATTGATCTTAAGCACACATTAGTCACATAACTTAGGAGTCAGTAGTTTTATACGTTATGCTTGTGTTTTCCCAATAAAGTAAAAGTGTATTTGTTTGAGTCTCATATTTTCTTGGGATGTGATTATTTGTATTTTCATGATAAATGAAAGCTAAGTTTGAAACAACAAAACTACTTCCAGGGCCATGCAGCAAATTATAAGAACAGTGTATGCAATCTAGATCTTTAATTCCAGAGTTGTAAACTTTTCAGTAGGCCTTGCTGCCTGCTTAATTCAAGTTTCAAGTAAATACAAGCATCTTATCCATAACCCTGACAATCATAGTTCAGGCAAATGGTAGAATAATTTTATAAATACTAGAAATCCAACCTCCAAGAACCAATGTGTTAATGAGTGAAAGCGTCTGTACCCACCAATCCACATTGCCTGTCCCACTCAGATGTGTCCTGAATCCTTACCTCTCTTGAGTCTCTTCTCCCCAGACTTTTTTCTTCTGTTAGTTATTGGTTGTCATTGTAGGAGTAGGTGAACACAGAAGTTGGAACTGAGACTGGGGGGCCACATTGCCTGTATTTAACTCCTGCCTCCAGTACTTAACTGGCTGCATGACCTCGGGCCTCTTCCTCATCTGTAAAATACAGATAATAATAAAACCTCCCTCATGGGGTTTATTTGAGGTTTAAATGGTTTAATATATGGAAAAGTCTAGAACTGCACCTGGCTCACATATAAGTTTGTTTTTTATTAACACATTCTGACTTTCGTCTAAACTTAAGACCTTAAATGTGGCTTAACTCTATCTCCTTAATTTCCTGCCCCCACATCTAATCAGTTAACGGATCTGATCAGTTTTGCCTGTCCTTGTCATTCTTGTTGTCCCTTGTCATTTGTCAGTACTTCTTACCTTCCTTTTTTAAATTTCATTGTATCGCCCAGTGTCTTATTTATTATTTATTTCTTGCTTTAAAACCTTGCTTCATGTTTACAGCAGGATAAAGTCCAAACAGCTGAGCTTGGCATTTGGCACTTTTGATGTGGTACACCTCCTATCCTTCGCACCAGCCAACCTGGTCAATCACCATTCCCCATTTCTTTGAACACAACTCGCTTATTTCTGCCTTTCTTCATTTTTAGCCTTTGTTTATTGATTTCCCCATCTTTACAAGTCCTGCTTATTTTGTAGATCTTGTGATCGTCTCTTAACATTCTGTAATACTTGCTCTTATTTTATATCTGTTTTATCTATAATCTCATAGTACCTACCTGTCACTGTGTATCTTCTTGTAATCCTCATATAGGGTAGTATCTGCTACCGTAACAAAGCCTAGATTTCAGTAGCTTAATACTGTGGTTGCTCATTCATGAGACAGTTCAGTGTGAGTGTCCTTCCACTTTGTGACCCTGCCATTCCGTAAGGGCTTTATTGGCGGAAGGATCAAGTGAGAGTGGGAAAGGGATGCTACTTAACTTCGTGGACTTACGATGACACACAACACTGCCACTCAGTCCAGTGGGGAGAACTAGTACCATGGGCCACCTGATGTGAGGGGAGCTGGGAGTGTAGCCCTTGGCTGAGTTGGCTTCCCACTGACAACTGTGTTGTAGCAGTAGGGTCGTGAATTCTGGTGAGTTGATAACCATCTCTGCCGTCTCTTGGCAGTGGGAGCCTAAGCTCTGGCATATTTCTTTACAAAGCACAGCACTCTGCAGCACTCAGTGTGGTACTTGCATATAGGAAGTTTCGTTAAATATTTAAGTGAGCTAGTGATAGAACAAAAAAGATGAACAGAGTAGGTTAAAGGGCTTATTTCAGCAGACTTCATTTGAATCTTCCTTTTACACATTATTAGTTGAGTGACGTAAGGATGTTATTTATCCAGTGCTCTTCAAGGGGGGATAATAACTGCCCACTGCATAAGGCTGTTGTGAAGATGAAATGAAGTAAGGTACAGAGGTTGGCATGTAGTGATCCCTCAGTAAAAGATGGTCATTATTGATAAACACGTCAAGTTTCTTTGTAGTGATCTTTAAGAAAGTTTAAATTAACTGTCATTTAGTGCCCTATGGTAGAAATGAATTAGAGGTAGCCACAGGCTTCCTGTGACAGATTAGGATTTAAGAGAACTGTATCAGAGTCCAGAGCTTACTAACTAGTGTGTGACTTGGGCAAGTCATAACACCTTTTGTCATCTTTCCATTTCTATGTGTCATGGGTCATGAATTATCAAATCAAATCAGTATGAAGATTTATGTGACATTATGGTTTGTTGAAATACCAAGGAGATAATTGCTTAGCAATACCAAAATTATCTAGTTTTTTTAGTATTATTTAATGCTGAATGTGTTAAGTATTAAATTGAAAAATACTGTAAACCCAGATGACCTCTTCAGCCCCTGTCAAAATTCGTGTAATGAGAGTAACAAACTGAGTTGAAAACATTTTCAGAGTAAGATTTTGTTTGTCTTGTAGGCATTTTGTTCCCAACATCACCTTTGGTCACCCTGTGGTAGAAAGCCTTCGAAAGCAGCTAGGCCAGGACCCTTTCTTTGGTAAGTGGGTGTTATGCCATCTGAAGCTGGATGTGTTACACAAGTAAAGGAAAAGTGGATAGTTGATTGTTGATTACTTAACTTCCGAGAGCATCTAGACCCCCCCCCCCCGCCCCCTCCCTGTGCTGGAGCTTCATTGGCCTGATTCCAGTAGCAAGCCAGACCTTTTCCTGCTTCAGGGCCTTGGCGCTTGCTCATCTCTATAGAAAGTGCTTTGCTTGGCTGGCTGCCTTATCTTTGGGCCTCAGGTTAGTTGTCTTCAGAAAGGCCTTTCTGAGCACCCTATCCTAAATTAGCCTTTAGCCAGTTATCTTCAACCTTGTTGATTTTCTTCTTAAAACTTCCTTCCATCTGAGATTACTTTTAGCAGACTGTAAACTCTGAGGGCAGGGTTTGAATCCACCTTGTTTACTGTAGTTTTCCTAACTCTAAACATAGACATGGTGGGGCTCGATGTAATTGTTCAGTGAATTTATGAATCAGTTGCCTGACTTACGGTCTAGAAGCTATTTATTTCTTGCAAATTGGAGCTTTCTGCAGGTGGGGCCTAATAAATATTCTTCATTCTGATAGGACAGTGTGAATTAAGATTTTTAAGTGACATAGTGACCTGGAAGTTATTTTTCATGGAACATGGATTCAGTCCACATGGTTTTTTGTTTTATTAAGTTAGCAGTGCTTCACTTGCCAAATCTCTTTTTTATATAAGAAATTTTACAAGTCTTTATAAGTAGCATAGTAGTTTTTATGTAACTTAGAATTTAGTAGAACTTAGTTGTTTTTTTCCCAAGTGTTTTATGGACCAATTTTATGAGGAAACTCTAACTGTGCTGTTGGGCATAGTAGTTACAAACCACATGTGGCTATTAAAATTAAATAGACTTACAAATTCAATTTCTCTTTCACATTAGCCACATTACAAATCATCAGTAGCCTCATGTGGCTAGTGACCCCCATGTTGTACAGTACACCTATGGGACATTTCCATCGTCATAGACGATTGCGTTGGGTGGAGTCTCTCTGTACAGAATCCATCTACTTTGAGTGCAACAAAGAAAATGTACATTATCATCTCATTTCTGTGGCATGCAGAAACAATGTTCCACCAACATGGTCACCATTTTGAAATTTCCAAATAAAGGAATATAGTTTTAATTATCTAAACGTTTTTTTAAACCACATTTTGGAAAACGGATTTTCCAAAATAAGTTTGTAATTCCATTAATCAGCTTTTATACCAGGTGCCATGACTTTTTTCTGTGAATTGAAGTTCTGACTATGAGAGGCGGATGAAATACAAGGTCCGACAATTAAGTTTGTGAACTTGCCACTGTACGCTTACATTGGCAGCACTGTACAAGCAGCTTAGTGAGGTTTTATAACTTTGGTACATCAGTGTCTCACAGCTGTGTTTGTGTCGACATATGGCGGGGTCTTGCTGAGGGATGTTCATTATTGCATGTTTTTGTGTGTCATCGCAAGAATGTCAGAACTTGAGTTAGAGCAGCGGATGAACATTACATTTCTTATTAAACTTGGCAAGAGTGGAAGTCAAATCAGGTATATGCTGCTCTAATTTTTTATGGGGATAATGCCAAGAAGAAAACATCGGTGCACAAATGGATTAAATGTTTTTCTGAGGGGAGAGAGTGTCACTGATGAAGAGAGGTCAGGACAGCCAGTAAGGAGCAGAACTGATGAAAGCATGGCAGAAATTTGTTGGATTGTGTGACAAAATTGTCAGCTGTCTGTGATAAGCACAGCAGACCAAATGACTATTGATGGAGGAACAGCTAGGAAAATCTTAACTGGAAATCTTGGCATGAGAAAGGTGTGTGCAAAAATGGTCCTGAAGGAGCTCTCGCATCACAACAATGCACCAGCTCACACAGCACTGTCTGTGAGGGAGTTTTTAGCCAGTAAACAAATAACTGTTGGAACATCTTCCCTACTCACCTGATCTGGACCCCAGTGACTTTTTTCTTTACCTGAAGATAAAGGAAATATTGAAAGGAAGATGTTTTGATGACATTCAAGGGTAATACAAGGACAGGGACAGCTCTGATGGCCATTTTAGAAAAGGAGTTCCAACACTGCTTTGATGGGTGCACTAGGTGCTGGTGTCAGTGCATAGTTTCCCAAAGGGAGTACTTTGAAGATGACTGTGTTGATATTTAGCAGTGAGGTGGAGCACTTTTTCTAGGATGAGTTTATGAACTGTCAGACCTCGTAAATGGCGTTGTTTGCTCCAACTGTACAGTGACCACAGAGTCCTGTGCTTCTGGCTTTCTTGTGTGAGTCTGAAAAAGTTTTTGATTTTTAATTTTTTTCTTTTCTCTCCTTTTTATTTGGGCCCCTGTTACCACATCTCACTACTGTCTGTACCTTCTCTTGTCACTGACTTTTCTTTTACGAATCCTATGGCCACTACCACACACAATCTGCTTTTTCTTCCTGTTTTTAGTTTTTTTGCTGATATGCTAATTAGTCTTTCTAGAATTGGGTCTAAAAGATGAGTGAACTCCATTTACTTTAGTATTTGGGTTTTGTGACCTTTGGTTTTTACATTAAAAAGTGTTTATTTAAGTCTTGGATCTTGGTTGTTGGATAATTGGTGCATGAATGTATTCTAGGAACTAGATCACATATTGTAAATATAACTACTTGAGTTCTTAGCTGTTTAATGTTAGTGTTGACTAGAAATAACTGTCTAAGATAGTGATAGGAAAAGTCTGTTCTTTTTATTCTCTAAGTCAGTCGTCCTCAAGTGTAGGGACCCATGGAAATCCTTAAGACTCTTTTAGACCACCCATGAGTACACCAAAACTATTTTCATAAATACTAAGATATTATTTGCTGCTGTTTATATTGAGGGTGCAACAACGAGTTAGTTTGCTAGTGCCTTAACCCAAAATAAGGCAGTGATATTGAACTATACCAGTAGTCATTGAATTTTTCATCACTGTGCATTTGCGGTAAGTATCCTTGATTAAACAGTACAGATTATTTTTTAATAAATCTTAGTTCTTGAATGGATGCCTTTTTAACATTTTATGTGACAGAGCACCTGTAAAGCACTTGTGCTGCATACTAGAACATAATGGTTTTCTCAAGGAAACAGACTTGTACCACAGTTTGAGTTATGATCTGAACAAGCTGCTTTTTTCACGAACACTGTTTTTACCTGAAAGAATGACTGACACCTGTAGTATCGTTTTTCAGATTGGCTATTTTACTGACATTAAAAAAAAAAATTAGTGAGCCTGTCACGTCAAGGAAGATGCATTGGCATTTTTGTTACTATTGACATGGCTAGAGCTTGTCAGAGAAAATTAGAATTTTGGAAAATTTGTATCTTATCAATGTGAACTTGACAGCTTCCCAGTACTTACAGGTTTTCTGATGAGATCTGTAGTGCTTTTAACAAATATGATTTGGGAGTACTATGGAATGAAATCTGTCACTGTCTAAAAAAACCTGTGTAACTCAGCGAACCAGTACGTAAAATGTTAATTCAAAGTGCTCATGCCTATAATCCCAGGATTTTGGGAGGCCAAGGTGAGAGGATTGCCTAATAAGCCCACATGTTCCGGACCAGCCTGGGCAACTTGGCGAGACCTCATCTCTACAATAAATCAAAAAATTAGCCTGGCATGGTGGCGTGTTCCTGTGGTTCCGGCTACTTGGAAGGACCCATAGGCAGGTTTGCCGAGCCACTAACTCATGCATTTTACTCTTCTCTTTTCTTGCTATAAAACAGTATACAAATGGTATCCGATTTAATGACGGTTTGAGTTATGGTTTTTCAACTTTACAATGGTGTGAAGCCAGTCCTCATTCAGTAGGAACTGTGCTTTGAATACCTATATAGCCATGCTGTTTTTCACCTTTAGTACAGTATTCAGTAAATTACATGTATAATCAGTGCTTTATTCTAAGACAGATTTGTGTTGGGTGATTTGCCCAGCCACAGGCTAATGTAAGTGTTCTCAGTGCATTTAAGATAGGCTAGCTGAAGCTAGTCTGTGATGTAGGTTAGGTGTGCTCATTACATCTCGACTTATGATATTCTCAATTTATGATGGGTTTATCAGGCTATAGCCCCATCATACGTCAAGGAGAATCTATATTGCAATCAATTAGATGCAGAACAGGCAGGAGAATGTAGGTATCTTCTGTGAAGCCAGATGTTAAACACTTGCAAACATGTAAAACTGTGTCGCCTTTAAGTAGCATGCAACTGGTTTATTACTTCTTAGTGAATTAGGAAGTACATACTTTAAAGTGTCATAGTGTGGATTTCTAATACGTTAAATACCTGTAAGTATAACCTATGTCAACTAAAATTTCTTGGGAATTTAAATACTTTTTAAAGAGTGTAAAGGGAACCTGATACTAGAACATTTGAGAACTACTTATGTAACATGACCCATAGGCAGGTTTGCCGAGCCACTAACTCCGCGAGCATCATGGAGATTCTCCCTTGAGGGCCTGCTAGAGTGTGAGGAAGGAAGACCAAGCAGCCTGGTGCCTTAAGGAATGAACAAACTAGATATTTAATTTAATTTAATTTAATTTATTTTAATTTATTTTTGAGTTGGAGTCTCACTCTATCACCCAGACTGGAGTGCAGTGGCCGCCCCCCGGCCACTGCAGCCTCCACCTGCTGGGCTCCGGCGATCCTTCCGCCTCAGCCTTCCAAGGAGCTGGAACTACAGGCGTGCGCTACCACGCCCGGCTAATTTTTGATTTATTGTAGAGATGAGGTCTTGCCAAGTTGCCCAGGTGGGTCTCGAACCCACGGGCTCAGGCAATCCACTCACTTCAGCCTCCCAAAGCGCTGGGATTACAGGCTGAGCCACCGAGCCCGGCTCAAACTAGATATTTTAAACCGGATTGAATTTTCCTTGTCTATACTACAAAGAAATAAACACCTGATTGAATACATTTTTAAAAAAATAAAGGTTTATTTAATAAAATATGTTCTGATTTAATTACTTGTTCTGACTTAGAAATAGAAACTTTAACCTTGGCTTCATTGGTCAACCTGTATTCTCTTTTCCTGATATTTTTTCTTTTTTCTTTTCTTTTTTGAGTTGGAGTCTCACTCTGTCGCCCAGACTGGAGTGCAGTGGCCGCTCCTGGCCACTGCAGCCTCGACCTGCTGGGCTCCGGCGATCCTTCCGCCTCAGCCTTCCAAGTAGCTGGAACTACAGGCATACGCTAGCATGCTCGGCTAATTTTTTGATTTATTGTAGAGATGAGGTCTCGCCTGCCCAGGTGGGTCTCGAACTCGCGGGCTCAGGCAATCCACGCACCTCAGCCTTCCAAAGGCGTGGGATTTCCTGATATTTTTTCAAAGCTTTGTTATATTTCAACATCTTAGTTGAGTTCTGGAATATTATAATTTTTTTCTTAAATAATGCTTAGCTATGTCAAAAACATGCTTCCTCCACCAAAACAAAACACTTAACTCTCCTCACTGCCATCTACTGAGCATAGGATTCTTCCCAGAATATTTCTTGGTTTAGTCTCTTTAAGCTGCCGTCTCCTAGTCATGGAACACTGTTACGTTTTAAGTCAAGATCTCTAGAAGCCCTCGCCCATTTTTCCCTTCTGTATTTATCAAGCTTTAGAATTAAGAAGAATGTCAGGCTGCTTCTAGTCAACATGTCTTTCTCTTTCAATCTTTTCCTGCTCCTCTGGTCTTCTGCCTGTCAGTGAATGCCAGTTCTGTTTTTTTCAGTTGATCAGGTCAGATCTTTGGCAGCATCCTGACTTTCCTGTCATCTTCCACTAATTCATCCTCAGCTCTGCTGGCTCTACTTGCAGAACATCCATCCTCAATTGCTGCTGTCATTTCTGACCTGGGTTATTGCCAGAGTAGCCTCATTCGGACCTGGCCACTTCTCCACTCAAAGCCTATGGGACTTTTTACTGTCTTATTCAGAGTAAAACCCGGCGGCCTGCAGTGCTCTGGGCTGTTTCTCCTCAACACGTGCCCCTCTAACCTTCACCAGTGCACCTGCAGCCCCAGCCACATTGCCCTCTCCCACTACGAATGGAGTCTCTTTGACAGCAGAGATTTTTGCCCCTCCATGAGGCCTAGAATAATTAATGATGCAGTAGTAGCTGCTCAGTACATGTTGGTGTGTGGAATAAATTGCTTAATTTTGCTTTCTTCAAGGAATCAGTGCTGCACAGATAATATGAGTTCTTTAAGATTTTTTGGAGTGGCATTTCCTGGACCTAGACCTAGGTTTCCTGATTTATAGTTGTTAACTAGAAATACAGCACCATATGTTTTTTGTGGAAAGACATTTTTCCCTAAATGAATTTGACCAAAAACCTTATCTGGAAGATAAAGGAAAACTACCTATACTGAAGTATAATTATTTAAATAAAAATTTTCTGATGCCAGAAGGGTTTATATCTGACATGCACAAACTGCAGGCTAGCTTCCAATCATATGAGCCAGGTATTTCCTTTCAGTAATATATAGAGGGGTCTTTTCTTTCTAGACATGCACATGATGGTGTCCAGGCCGGAGCAGTGGGTAAAGCCAATGGCTGTAGCAGGAGCCAATCAGTATACCTTTCATCTCGAGGCTACTGAGAACCCAGGAGCTTTGATTAAAGACATTCGGGAGAATGGGATGAAGGTAAGAAATCAGTGGTGCCAGTAATGACAGGTATGTCACTCTCAGAGTTTGGAAAATTTGAAACAGGAAAACTGGAAATGACAGGTCAAGAGAACCTGACTTATGCAGCTGTTCTTCAGCTGTGAAGCCAGAGTTTAACTATGGCTTGATTGCCAGATAGGATTTATATATTCCACTAACTCTGGAAAATATTTACTTTTAATAGCCTTGTTATCTTTTTCAAAAAATGGAAGTAATAGTCTGAATAATTTATTATTCTATTTTATAAGAGTAGATATTTCTACTAGACCTGCTATGTCACAATAGTATAATTATAATACAGAAATACCTGTTAATACGATGTAGCAAATTTGTCTCTGTTACAGGTTGGCCTTGCCATCAAACCAGGAACCACAGTTGAGTATTTGGCACCATGGGCTAATCAAATAGACATGGCCTTGGTTATGACAGTGGAACCTGGGTTTGGAGGGCAGAAATTCATGGAAGATATGATGCCAAAGGTAAAAGAAGTCTTTGATTCTGAGATGAAGCTTTTACTATATGTGTTCATTCAGTAAGCATATATATTGAAAGACTTATGTTTTTAGGTATACCTTGTTCAGAAGGTGAAAAGACAGGAATCCCTGTCCTTTCCAAATATGACAAATGCTGTAATAGATTTAAGATTTAAATATCAGAGAAGATGTTTTTAGGTATACCTTGTTCAGAAGGTGAAAAGACAGGAATCCCTGTCCTTTTCAAATATGACAAATGCTGTAATAGATTTAAGATTTAAATATCAGAGAAGATATTATTACATCTTGAAATTTTCTTTCAAAATCATCATTTCTGTAACCTTTAGATCTCTTAGAGTTTTCATCCACTTGAGCGTTTGTATAGTCTCTGCGAAGACATGACAAATTATAATTTGCTAAACAGAACAAAACTTGCTTTAGCAAGCTTAATTTGTTTTAGTACATTAAAAGCCTTGTGTTTCCCAATAATGTTTTGTGTTGATACAGTGAGACACATGGTGTTTTAGTGGCTAATTTAGCTGTTTGATTTCTTGTTGTTATTTCGTTGTTTTTTCCCTCAAATATCCACTTCAGGAGTTGCTTATTTCCTCGTGTGTATCTAGGTTCACTGGTTGAGAACCCAGTTCCCGTCTCTGGATATAGAGGTCGATGGTGGTGTAGGTCCTGACACTGTCCATAAGTGTGCAGAGGTGAGATTGCCCCTCCATTGTGACTAGACCAATTTCCTGTCAAATATATCTCCAGGACATTGTCTCACAGGCCAAAGAGATTTTTCCCCTATGGTTCCTAAGTTATCTTACTTTCTTAGAAAAGTGTTTTTCTTCACTTATAGAAACAGAAAAATAAAGAGCAATAGATGAATATTCTAAAATCACGTAAATTGTTAAATAGTAAATCCTAGTTGTCTCAGTAGTGCCAAAGAGAGTTTTTTTTTCCCAAAAAATAATGTAATGAATATTGGCCCTTTGGAAGATCATTTAGTTCTAGGGCTTGGAGTAAGAATTTTTTCCACAATAGGAAAAGAAAAGATACTTCCTTACCAAGGTAGTGAGGGGAAAATAGAGATATCTAACTGACCCAGAATGTTACTCTTTTTGAACCTAGGTGTATTTAGTTACCTATTTGTCCCTTGTAAGAATTAGCTAAAACATTTTTGATGAAAGCCTGGGCCTGATACACATCTGGTTCTCTCTGGTACCCCTTTGGCCACCTAGGTAGAGGTTAGGTGAGTTTTTTTCTTTTTTTTCAGGTAGCTAGTGTAGCATAGTAACCCCTCCCGTAACCCTGGAGGGAATTAACACTTACATGGCCTGCTTTTAGCCAGCAATTTGGTGTATCTGTACTTCCAGGTTCTTGTATAACTGCCACACTTTTCTGCTTGATACATACCTATCAAAAACATGGCAGTAGTAAATATTTATGCAGGAGGGACTGACCAGAGTATCAGTGAGCACATATCCTTTTGACCCCTTGTGGAATTGCTTTTACTCAACTGTGCTTTGCCATTATGCTATTCCTGCTTTAAAAGAGACATGTTAAGTGTTACCCCTGTAAAATTCAGCATAGTAATTCCTATGAGGATGGTGGTTGGAAATGGAATGCTCTGTCATAGGATGATAGTGCCTTACTAGAGAATGTTGTTCATCCTCTTCTCCCTCTTCTAGCAATGAATCACATGACAGATTAGGTTTCCCTCAAGCCATATCCTAGCAAGCTCAGAGTTAAATTTAGACCCATCTTATTAGCTTTTCTTTGTTCTGTTTTTGCTTCCACATTTAAAAATATCTTAAATCTAGCCGGGCTCGGTGGTTCAGCCTGTAATCCCGTGTCTTGGGAGGCTGAGGTATGTGGATTGCCCGAGCCTGCGGGTTCGAATCCCGCCTGGGCAACTTGGTGAGACCTCATCTCTATAATAAATCAAAAATTAGCCGGGCATGGTAGCGTGCGCCTGTAGTTCCAGCTACTTGGAAGGCTGAGGCGGAAGGATCGCCAGAGCCCAGCAGGTCAAGGCTGCGGTGGCCGGGAGCGGCCACTGCACTCCAGTCTTGGTGACAGAGTGAGACTCCAACTCAAAAAAAAAAAAAATCTTTTTTAAACCACCTGAGAACCATTCTGGAATGTAATGAAGTGTAAAGAGACATTCCATTCTTTTCTGACACAAAAATAAGAAATTATTTAAATGTAATGTTGCCATGTCTTTTTGGATAATTTTACATTTTAGTAATAATTGTACTTTCGCACTATCTACAGATAATATAAATAATTCAGAGATTAAGCTGGGGGCAGTGGTTCACACCTGTAATCCCAGCACTTTGGGAGGTGGATTGCCTGAGCCCAGGGGATCAAGACCAGCCTGGGCATCTTGGCAAGATCTCGTCTCTACAATAAATAAAAACATTAGCTGGGTGTGGTAGCACATATCTGTAGTTCCGGCTACTTGGAAAACTGAGATGAAAGGATCACCTGAGCCCAGCAGGTCAAGCTGTGGTAGCAGTGAGGATGCTAGGCACTTCGGCCTGGGCGACAGTAAGACTCCAACTCAAAAAAATTAATAATTCAGAGATTAAAATACTGTTTTTTAGTAGCTATAGGGGCATCGGTAGATACTAATAAAAACCTTAATGGAATTGAGGATTAAAAGTTTTTAAACCTTATCTAAATATTGGCAAAGATACTGTGTGGCTTAGTAAGAGTTGTTTTACCAAAAAGGTCAATGATTTCCTAAGACATTTAAAAATAATTTCACACCCTCATTTGTGAACATTTTAACGTCTTTCCTTTATTGAACCAGATTGCTTAAGTCTGTTCATCTCAATGGGGTTTTTGTACCATAAAGATGTTGAAAGATACAAGGACAAACATTCTAGTCTAGGAATTCTGTTTTCGGCTTTTCTGTATTTCCTCTGAGGCATAACCTAAGTGTTTACTTCTTTCAGGCAGGAGCTAACATGATTGTGTCTGGCAGTGCCATTATGAGGAGTGAAGACCCCAGATCTGTGATCAACCTGTTAAGAAATGTTTGCTCAGAAGCTGCTCAGAAACGTTCTCTTGATCGATGAAACCCCAAGGAGCCCAGTGTTTCTGCTCATGAAATCCCCTTTTTTCCTGGAAAACAGGAATATTGACTACCAAATCGTATTGCAGTTCAGGCAGTACTGCTTTTCTGAGCAATTTATTCATTCCAGTGATTAAAATCTATTGTGCAGATTCTAGGTTAGAAATCGATGTGTATAACAACATTCTTAGTGATGCAATTTGAAGATTAGTGAAGTGAAATACTCAGTTTTTACTGGGATACTTGATTTTTATAAAGAGTAAAAATATGACTGTATTAAGGATACAAACAGAAATGTGTCTTAATGCCTGAGGGGGGCATATTAGCTACAGGATAAAAACAATTTTTTTTTCTGTATTTCTAAAAAGAATTTTGTTTTCTCAGCTGTTTTCCAAAAGCAAAGGAAGTCCTTACGTTTGTGATTTGTTCTTATGCTTAATAATAATAAGTAGCATGGAATTTTAAAATAAGTTTGGGTGGGATGGCATATCATATTCTTGCATCTAAAAACCATCACTTTTCACCTTTTACTTAATTCGTAAAAACTATAAAAAGTATATGAAACCGAGGAGTTCTAAAATATAAGCAAAGATTTTATCAAGGTGTTTTCTTTGTCAAAGCAGGTTATTTCATGATCCTCTGCACCGCCACTTTTCTTAATCTTCCTGTTCTTAGAACGTTAAATGATGTAGTCGTGTTGGCTCTGAGTAGAAAGGAGAAGAAAAGCCTCTGTTTGGAAGTAATATTGGGTTGAATTCTTGAAATAGCCCCTTTCTGGCTGTGGTTTGACCTTTAACAAATCACCCAAACATTTGCATTTCCCTTAACTCATTTATACATTGAATGTAATTATAACAACTGGGGTTGTTTGAGATGTGAGACATAACACTATATGCGAAGCATCCAGTACTTTTCCTAGAATTTAGAATTTAGAATTTAATTATAACAACTGGGGTTGTTTGAGATGTGAGACATAACACTATATGCGAAGCATCCAGTACTTTTCCTAGAATTTAGAGGGTGCTGTATACAAAGTGACTAGTACTATTTAAGTTTATGTTTTGTGAGTTATAAAGTACTTTGATATATTTTGCTAAATTCTCATTACATCTGTAAATCATTCCTATAAGTGGTGATAGAGCAGGTATTTTTGTCCCCAGTTAAAAAAGGAAACTAAAGCCCAGCAGTGGGGTGGTACCATGGAAAGGACCCAGGAAGGTAGAGGATTTCTGTTCTGCACTTTTTTTTTTAAAGAAATGGAGCCCTTGGGAAAGTGGGTTAGGCAAAAGAAGCTGCTTCTACTTAACACTGTCTTATTTCCAATCTGACTTTACCCTGTAGCAGAACCAGATGGCTGAGAATACTCTGGAACTATGGATCTTGACCCTAAGGATATATATCTTGTTCCCAGAAAGACCAGGTAGGCCAAAGTATGACAGGGAAGAATAATTATAACTGTGTTTAAAATTATACAGAGACTCCAGATATGCACCAGCTATATCATTCTTACAAATAGTCTTTCTGTGTAATAAATATGGCAAGAAGTAACAGGACCAGTATTGCTAAACTTCTTGAGACTACCAGGGGTTTTGAGAAATAAGGTTCAAGAAGTAAGAATGCTAACACTTAAGCTTATTTGGTTTCTATATTATTATGCTCTCTATTACAAAGTGAAAGCTTGTTTCTTAATGTTTGTTGTTTAACGAAAGCTTTGTGTCAAGAATAGGTGGCATTAAATCAAACAACACAAGGCATATAGAAATAACTTTAATTAAAAAACTTACATAGATTGTAATATCAGACATGACAAAGATTTGCATTGATTTGCCAGGACAACTGGGCTTGTCTGGCTTTTGTTTTTTCTTTAAAAATAAATGTACAGTAAAGCCATAAGCAAATGTTTGTCAGTAAAGGGACCAGTATAATTTCCAATCCCTAACAAAACTTAGTGTCAAATCCCACAGACTAGGCCAGATGGCCAAGAGTTTTTGTTATATGGGTACTACAACTTGGATAACCTTTTTTACATGACAAAAAGTGATATATATATAAACTGCCCTCAAGTTTCACATAGAAGGAAAAAAGGTATAATAGCTTGAAAAGGAATTTTCTTTCATGTACACTCTTCAGCATCCAATATTGAAGCACTGTCTTTTGAAAAATTTTAATTCTTGACCAGTGTGCAAGTAAGGGTAGATGTTTATTTGAAGAGAGTAAGTTATGTCAACGAATAACCAAATTAGCTAGAAATACCGTATTTCTAGATTAGCTAGAAATTAGCTAGAGTTACTAATTCCTTGCTAGTTAGTTAGAAATACGATCATTTTTGAAAAGTTTTAGACTGATAGGACTTTGTTGCTCTTTTTAAATTGTTATCTTCCCTTCATGAGATATATAAAGTAAAGTAGGGAAAACTCAAGTTGAGTTTTCAAAGGTGTGATAGTTTTAAAATGCACTGATATTTAACTTGAATTTGCTTGTTTTATTCTGTTACGAGTAAGCAAAAACTAGCCTGTGGTTAGTCCAACAGATATCAGTGATTTTGAATAGAGTATTGTGGTTAATCTGGTATAAGGATCTTCATAAATAACTTCTGCTGTTGGTTAAACGTGTTAAAAAACAAAAAACTCCCTCTATATTCAAGACTTTTAGGTGTCTTTTATCAGTGGAAACTTGTGCTTTATATATACTGTAGTTTACATTTCATAGGGTAATTTATACATGCATTTCCAAGTGGAGAGGGTCACTGCCAGTGTTTTGTAAAACTAGATAAGGGTGTGTGTATACATGTATAAATATTTTATACACACATATTTGTATATTCTAATATACTGCAGAGGCAATTTTAATGAATTGTCATGTGTCTAGAAAAAAAAGAATAGTTGTCACTTGATGCACAAGTGTGTGTGTGTTTGAGTGTATAGTCTTAATATCCAGTGATGTGATTTGACATCAAATTGCAGCAGTTAATATTTTGGTGCTTGTAATTTGCATGATAAACACAAATTACTCGCATTTGTTGGTAGATGAAAAGCTAATTGCTCCTGTGGTTCAAGGAGACTTAGCTTGCCTGTTTCATGAACAGCATAAAAAATTAATACATGCAGAACATGCTCTAATTGTGGAATTGTGACCAAAGGGGCCAGCAGATCCAGAACAGGGCCTCCCTGCCCTCTGTCTTTCCTTCATTTCTATAGTTTTCTTAACCTGTTCCCCGTCACCTGTTTTTTTTAACATTGGTAAGTCCTAGACCAAAGGTTTTGTACTCTTCCATTCCATCTGTGTTCTTTTTTGGATGGTGGTCATTTTCTGGTACACTGGCACAGAAGATTTCACCATGGAAGACTGTGCTTGGCCTTTCAATCTGATCATTTTTTTCATCTTGATATAATAAGGTTACCATGTCTTCATCCTTCAATGGAAAAGTTCGTCGTTCCCACCACAAAGACTGAAAGGGCAAACATTTCCAGTTAAGTTTCAACAAATTTGTTTAAATTCATTTATTGAGTAATCTGTAAATGCCAATTTTGTAATTATTGTTATGTTCTTTAAGCACATAACTATACAGATTTTCATTTGAACTTAAATATGAAGCAACCGGAAGTGAAATTCACTGAGAACTGTTTAGTGACCTGTGAGAATTCTTTCTTCACGCAGCCTCCACACTGAAAAGAGGACATGCTGCTGTGGGGCAGCAGTCCTACCTTCCTGTGCAGCCTAAGAGCACTTGGGGAGGGAGGGCCTCCGTAGAAGTGCTTTAGGGCTGAGCTGCAACAGTGTCTGCACTGCTGCAACAGTGTCTTCACTCTCATCCCACCACTATTAAAGGGGCCCATTGACTCTTTCTTTCCTGAGCTGTCTGCAACTTGCACAAAGTTTCCGTTCTAGAGCTGGTTGCTCTTTTTCAACACCTGTTTGTGAAGAAAGGCGCATGAATTTTATGGATACAGTGTTAGAAAACAATCCCCTAGGTAGGAACAGGATCTAATGAGGAGACAAGTAAAAATCTTAACATTCTAGGAGCAAGAATTACTCAGTCTGTGTAAGCATATATGATCATTAATCAGATTTGTAATGGATACTTTGATAGCATCTCCCTATTCTCCAGTAAGGGAGTAGGTGGAAGTTGGTACTGACTTGTTACACAAAAAGATAAGTGACTGTGGTTAATGATGGAACTAGAATACTGGCATATAGGTCTTCTATACCAAATCACCTTGCTAATTTTTTAGGGGATGATGTAATGATGAAACAATTTGTAATGGGCAGTTTCTACAAACAAGTAAAAATAAATTTAAAGGCAAGTAAAAGAAAGGCTAACGAATCATATATGTCACACTTACCTTGGTTTCTTGACTTTTATTTACAGAAGGTGAACCGTGTGCACTCAGATCATGGCTGTCTGAAGACAGCTCAGGCAGGTTTTCGGCAGCGCACTGTTGACTACTACTGAAGTCATTGTGGCATTCTTTGAAAAGCAAGTCCTGCCCTTCTGCATTTTTGCTGTAAGCTCTAGCAAGAAAACGGGGAAATAGTATTTTTGAGGTCTTAGCATTTTTTGAATAGCCCAAAGTATCATTAAGTCAACTTAGTACCTCTCCTTTAAATGGTTCTGTCCAAAAGATTTTTTGTTTAATTCCTCTTCTTCCTGATGCTGTTTTCATACCTCAAAGAATTAAATTATACATCTTGAACTGTTTTGCCAAATTATAAAATACCAGGGATTTTCTCAAACGCATAATTACTTATTATGTCTATGATTTATTTTCCCTTCCCTAAAAGCCTATAGGTGTTCTAAAAAACATTTTAGACTATTTGCTTTTCAGGTTGGACAGGTTTCTTGAGGAAAAACAATTGAGGTAGTTATGTTAAAATGGATTACTCATATCTGGACCCCGGTGTTAGGTCCACTATTACAGTAGGGTGAAATGACCTACTTCATATACAGTGGGAACTTTTCTTAGTATTTGCTAGTTATATCTATTCCTGAGGCCGACAAAATGAGAACAGAGTGGAGTAAAATGCAGAAACTCGTTTCATCATTACATAATTAGCCCAAATATATTTTGAATATAATCTTAGTATATGCAGTGTTTTACTGCTGGTGCACACAGAACTGATGTTCTATTTTCCTTTCTAGGGGTTTTTCCCCAAATTCATGCACAAGTTTGTTGAACAAGTTTGTTCGGTGGCTTTGAGGTTCGGGTTGATGACACCTGCCTGCTGTTTCTTCGGTGCCACTTGCTTTGCTCCCACTGTGACCACCAGGCTTGCTCTTTCTCTTCATATTTTTTGTGTCTTAGGGAGAAGACGTCATCAGAAAGATCTTCTGTCTGGAATTAGAAATAAATCTTTTTGCTTTAGCCAGAGCCGTGACACATTAGAACAGGTTTTAAAGTTTAAAACAGTTCCTTATCTAGGAACAGTGGGAAATAAACTCTAAAATAAATGCAGTCTATGTCAGTTAAGAGAACAAATGTTATGACACGAGCTTCAATTCCTGAAAAAAGGGAACCCAAAACTTTTTAAGCAAACTTTTGAATATTGGTTCATGTTTGAAGACTTAGCTACATTAATAAATGGGATCACAGTGCTTTTCATCTGCCACAGCTCATGTCAGATAGTCTTAATGCTTAATTCATTCACTGGTTTTTATTGGTTACCCATTATGGAGCACATACTGTTCTGGGAACATGTTAATATCAAAGAAAAGTATAATGATTATCTGAGATAAATCAGAATTAATTTAATGAGTGACTTATCTGGAGTTTAACCTTGAATACTACTTGGGTTATGGTGTTTAAGAATTTGGATTACCTGGCTAGAATTATTCAGAAGGAAGGAAGAGTACATTAGAAGAGGAAAGAGCATTAAAAGGTAAATTCTGGTAGTTGAAAAACATGACCACTGGGCGTAGAAAGACTATTAATTGACAAAAACCGTGTTTTCAACATAATACTGCTTCTAGAGACCATCACTTTGGAATTAGTTTGTTATACAGTATTTTTCCTTATAATCCTTGTCAATGTAATTTTACCCATACAGGTACACATTCCTTACCTGCAATTCCAAAATCCAAAAATCTGAAAAAACAAATTTTTCATAATTCGTTTGGTGACATAGCCTGATCTGAAATGGTCTGAGGCTATTTTTAAAGTTTGTTCCACTTACTCTATGTATTTCACTACAAAAATATTCATGTCTGATTAATGTTAAAAGAACTGCCTTGGACTTCTTAGGTATTACATATGGTACCACATTACTTTTCCATAAACCCAAATTTTCCCAATTCAAAGGTAAATTGACCCTAAGATCCTGAAAAGGGGGTTGCAGACTTTAGGAGTGAGACAAACTCTCATGCAGAAAAATATGATTAATATAGATATTCATGTAAATTCAGTATCTCAAAAACGCGAATGGTTTATTTTTGCTTTTATATTCCTCTGTATACATTATTATCTTTGCAATCATATTTGCAAGAACATTATTTTCTAATGTAATTAATATCCTTTGAAGAACTTTTCATAAGTGAAAAGTTACAGGGGGTTTATATATATATATATATATATAAAAGTTCCTCAAATGTCAAAGTAAGCAGGCTTTGTAGTATATACAATTATCCCATTAAATGAAGGGAAGCTTACCTCATCATCTACATTATATTCATCCAAAGGTTGAAGAACAACCATCCTCCAACTGTTGAAGAGACAAACCAATTTCAAACAGCTTTTATTAGTATATCTAAAGGTCTTATTCTCCAAGTACAACTAAATACATTAGTGTTGTCTTCCCTTGGGACTTCCGTAATTCAAATGGTTATATTTTAATACTTTATTTTTAATAAAGGAGAAGAAACATTTGTATTATGAGAAAGGGACAAGGAGAAGATAAGGCTTCATTTTAGCCTTATGCTGAACAGTCTGTTCTGCAGAGCTGCCTTTTTACACATAATAGCGATGTGTTGGCTGGGCCCCGGTGGCTCAGCCTGTAATCTCAGCATTTTGGGAGGCCGAGGTGAGGGGATTGCCTGAGCCCAGGGGTCCAAGAACAGAACAGCCTGGGCAACTTGACAAGACCTCATCTCTACAATAAATCAAAAAATTAACCGGGTGTGGTGGTGCGCACCTGTAGTTCCAGCTACTTGGAAGGCTGAGGTGGAAGGATCACCTGAGCCCAGTAGGTCGATGCTGGGGTGGCCATGAGTGTGCCACTGCATTCCAGCCTGGGTGATGGAGTGAGACTCCAACTCAAAAAAAAAAAAAAAATAGTGATGTGTTGACTTCCTTGATTAACTGGCTTGGCAACAACAACAACAAAAATGACAAAAACCTTGATTTGTAGTATGCCAATTTCTAGAAATACCTATCATGGTCCCTTTTGAGCCATCAATAGTTTTTGACAGCTGCATCAAAGAATTCTATATTTAACAGTGATCTCAACCAGCTAGCTCCATCCTACCACTGCAAGTTGAAAAACATTTTTTGTTCCGGAACATCATAATCACAAATTATGTTGTATGCCTTATTACTAGCAAGTATTGGCAGATTCTTTATAGAAGTTATAATACCTCCTAGAATATTAACATGTTCAGTACAGCAAAGTAATTACGTAATGGGAGAAATTATGAAATTAGAATTGAGATGGATGGGAATTAACTGAAGTTGTCTCCCACCTCAAATCTCTGTTTCCAACCTTTTCTATCTCTACTTCTGGTGCCATATTTATATTCTTAAAAAACTTCAGTCATTGCTACAACTGGCTAATTTCACTGCCAGTAGGAAGCGTCTTCCACAGAAGTCAGGGTCTCCTACAGTCTGGGTCTAATTCCTTTTCTAGCTTTAGCTCCCTTTATCAACCTACACAGAACCTGTATCTGGCTAAAGACTTAATACTTGTCCCTATGCTTTTGTTTGGTCTCCCTATGAAAATGCCCTCTACCTTCCCCTTACTTCATGGATGTCTTCCCAGGTTCCCCCTCATCTTTATCTTTTGATTGATTGATTGACAGCATCTTTTTTCTGTTGGCACAGAAGGTGCTGCTTTACGGTATAAATGCCCCGGGAAAGGGGAGTTAACTTTCTTTTTTGAACTCCTTTTGCAATCTTGTACACATCTCTCTCTCTTTAAGGGTAGGAATTAGTTGTTACTGTATAGTTACTATATCACTATATCACTAAAGTACTATATCACTAAAGTACTTTAGTGCTGTATACATATAAGACCTCAATTTCACTGAATGATAAAAATACTATACAAATGCTAAAGTAAATTAGTCTAGGAATTCCTGATTTTTAATAAAAACTGAGAAAGTTGTGATACTGTATGGCACTTTTTCTTTAGCATGAGTAAAGAAATGGTTTCTTTCATCATTTTCCCTCCATGGCTATACAAGCAGGGAAAGAAGGGGGAAACATCCTCCTTTGGTAAGTAAACTTCTAAGTTCATTCTGAAGTTTTAAGTTTATTAAAGAAGGAAAGGAGAAAGAAAAAGAGGTGTAAGCATACATACCTTGGAGTAAGTATTTCCTTATACTGGAGTTTCTCTAACTTAGCTGGGGCTACTAATGACATGGGGATCACAATGTTATCGATATCATAAGAGCTCTCACTTCTCAATCTCCGTCTCGGAGTATTCTGAAAAACAAAATTACAGTAGTTTTACAGTGGTATCTAGTTATTTGTGATGATACCCTGCTTTCATCAGTTTTAAATAGAAAATAATAAGGCAGTGTAAGTAACCTTTCTAAATACATTGTTATACGTTTATATAAAATGCTAAGAAAACCAATTAAGAAAATGTTCCTATATTTTGTAAACCAAAACTTGACAGGGTTTTAATCTAATTTACATGTGCAAACACACAAGTTCATTTTTAATACCGTGAGAAACAGGAATGCCTTAAAATGCAAAACCTTTGTCAAAAAAGACTCACATAAAGCACTCTAAATGTCATTTACAATCTTCATTTATGTGTTTGTGGTCCCTAAGCTTCAAACTTCATTTCTAAGCCTTCCCGTCTTTTGACCTCTCAACTCCCTCTCCCTGACCAAAACAAAACAAAACCACAAAACAAGAGCAACACAAATCCTCAATTATCATTAGCAAGCAAGACTATTTAGTTTCATATATTAAGGAGAAGAGTTGGTTATGATAAACTTTAAGTTTTAACACAGGGTCAAGCATAGTGGCTCATGAATGTGATCCCGACACTTTGGGCGGCTGAGGTCAGAGTATTGTTTGAGGCCAGGAGTTTGAGACCAGCCTGGACAAGATCGGGAGACTTTGTGTCTACAAAAAAATTTAAAAATTAGCCAGGTGGGGTGCAGGTCTGTAGTCCCAGCTATGCGGGAAGCTGAGGCAAAAGGATAGCCTGAACCCAGTAGGTCGTGAGTGTGCCACTGCACTCCAATCTGGGTGACACAGTGAGTAAATAAAAACATACACATATAGAAAAACAAGCTATCGCCAAAGCTTTCTAGTTAAAAAAAAGCATCATGTAATCAAATGTATTGTTTCCTAATAAGATAGTTGTAAGTATGCTAATAGATGTAGTAAATAGGGCTGTTACAGATTAGTAAAACGTTCTATGAGTTATTTTCAAAATCAGCTGCTTTTATTTTTAAAATACGTAAAGCAGCAGTGTTAGAATTATATGAATGTATTTTTAAAAACCTACTTGTGATGATGAATTCTGGGTCTTTGAGATAACGTTGACATTAGAAACAGCAGCATAATTGTTATAGGATTCTGGTTCTGACTGTTGAAAAGCAGATTCTTCAAATTTAGTTCTTTCTCCTGCCGTGGAAAGAACCATTGAGAATGTCACATATTAAACAGGACTAATAGGTGTTATAATTATTTTCCTAGTTAGGTAACAGTTGATTGATTTTTTTTTTTTAAATCATGCATCAAAAACACCAAAATAATAATAATAAAGAAATAGAAAAGAAGCTTTACCCATGGTCCTGTCACAAATATTTTAGTTTTCTGGGGCTTGCCAGTTTTTATCTAGTATATTTCATATTATTTCTTATCAAATTATTCATCTCGTCCCTTTACTCTGTTTTTGCTGATACTCTTAAAGGTTGAACCACCAGAACTAACTAAATTTTCTTCATATTTCTTATATCTGATTTTCCTAATTTCTGAACACTCTTGATCTTTGAAAAATTTCTATGAAACTTGATTTTTAAGAGTACTTGTTTTCTGGTATTCATTTTTTAGAGCACCTTGTTCTTGCTTCGTAGATGAAATTTATAGTTTTCTTCAGGATATTGATTAGGTGTTTACTTCTGTTGGTATTTGTGTTCCTTCAAAGTTCCTTTTTTTCCTTTTTGGTTCCCTATTTGTAAGTGTATATTTACATACTTATTTATTCACATATATTGCTCTTATTTTACTCGAGTACAAATCTTTAAAAATGAGTATTTTCCTGTATAAGATGTAATATCCAGTCCACATTTACATTTCTCCAGTTAAAAAGTGTCCTTTATAGCTAGTTTTTTCAAATCACAATCTGTGTATTAAAATTGGTTACTGTCTTTTAGGTTTCTTAGAGTCTAGAATAGTTTTTCATGATGGCTTGTGACAGATATTAGACTAGATGTCTTACACTTTTGGAGTTACTTCTTTGTAGTATATCATTTCATTTGTTCTATCCCTGTATTTACATCAAACTCAAAACTAGATCTAAAGTGTCAGTTCAAGTGAAACATTTGATATCATTGGTGATGTATGTTTCATAGTGTGTCTTACTAAGATTCGTTAAAAGTTTTCTTACGTTTTTATATGCATATATGAAAGTTCATCAAAAGCGAGGTGATCCTTGGTTATCTGTTCTTAGGAGTGTGGTGCTAAAAAGCATAATGAAACCTCAGGGTATGTATGGGAATTTGTTAATTTTGTTTCACACTGTAGTCGATCAAGTAAGTTATTATCAGGTAGTGACTTGGTATTGTTTTTTTAATCATTAGAAAAATCTATGGCAACTGTCTTGCCCTAGGTCTCCACAACAGACCCCACTCTGCATTACTAGAAGAATTCTATTTTCCAGTAATACCTCTTGATCATTTTGGAACCCTTGAAGTTTATAGGTGCTTAGGAGAATTGAATGAGGTAGTTAAGTACTTCAGGTGACAATCCTGAGGAATCTGCAGTGAGTCAACCCCCACAGCAGGTATCAGGAATGGTGATAAGTTTCTAGAAGGCAACCTTGCATGAGCCCATTTTGAGTCCAGAACACAACTTTGGATGCTAAATCCTGTCCAGAGGTCAGCTAGTAGAAGGCAACTTGTCAGGGAACATAAGGAGATAATTGTCAGAAAAAGCATAGATACACAGTCCACAAATAATTGGAATTAACTATATGAATACGCTGTTTAATGCTCAGGGTCATAGATGTTTTCCCGTAGTTAACGATTTTTCTGGACCACAAACTCCCACGAGACAGGTTCTGTTAGGGTTAGAATCGTCTTTATTTTCAGTATTCGTCACTAGTGCTCATATCCTCATTTTAACTTACCTAATGCTGTTTCACTCAAATGTCTTTTCTTTCTTCCCTGTAACAGTTGTGCAGAAGATTCTGGCCTTAACTGAGGCTTACATGGAGGTGAATATCCATTTCTCCACTGATTCAGCGAAGTACTAAGTACTAAAATAGAAGGAAATATGAAATTTAGTTCCTTAACACAAATAAACATGTTAATTTGTTTTTATATAACAGTACAGAATTTTAAGATGCCAGATCAGAATTACACATACTGAAATAAATACATAGCCAAAATAGACAAACTAAAAGTACCCAGAATAGGATTTTTAAAAAACATTCCCAGGAAATGCTCAGTTTCCTATATTTTCTCATTTTGTTTTGATGGTGATGAAAAGGGAAGTTGATCTGTTCTCAAAATCTTCCAAATTACAAAACTATAGAATGAAAATTGGTTTGGCTCTGTGTATCTTGGCCAGATGTGACCTGAATCTTTAAGTTCTTGCTTACTCTTAAATCTGGAAATAATTCCGAACCAAGTAGATTCAACAAGATCTCAACAGGCTGGGACTCCTTGAGAACAATAACCACTTCTGATGGTGACTAGGATTGTTCTGTTCTTTTTTTTATTTTTAGAAAGAATGCATTAAATTTAGCTTTAAGTTACTTAATATCTCTGTGCCTCAGTTGTGTTATCTGTAGGGATAATTGCAGCTATCTTGGGGTTAGGATTAATTCCTGTAATAGTAAATAGAAGAGTGTCTAATATGATTAATGTTCAATAGATGTTAGCTTGATCATCATCTGAACCTCATATTTCCAGTACTGGTCTGTAACTTATCTTTGTTGAGGGGTTGGAGATGAGGAAAAGAATGGGGAAAAAATATGTAAGCTGAAGTGCCAAACTCACTAACAATGAAATAAAGGGTATGACCTACTAATGGTGATAGTCTGGTTTCAAGATGGCAAAGAATCCTAAAGACGACAGACACAGTTTTCATACACATGCACAGGTATGCACATATACCTCCACATCTGCAAGCAAAAAGGAAGCTTGTGAAGTTATGCTTTGTAAGGAATCTCTGCAAGACTGATGTCATATGGAATTTGAAGAGGAGACAGAGCAGAAGCACATGGTAAAGTACTGCCATGAAAATGTGTGGTCAGCCCCGCAGGGGCTCTAGACCCAGAGGAGCAGGATAATGGAGCAAGACAATTCTCCAGAGCAACTGACAGATGGACTACACGTGCCCAATACCTCAGCAGGCTAACAAAATCAGAGCTTTGGCAGAGAAACGGATGGCTGAAGAGATGAGGCAATGCCCAAATGACCCACTTTGAAATGTCTTGCCTATCCCCATCACAGTGTGAAAATTTCATATGCAGAGCACGCGTCTATCCTCATCAGAGTCCCACCAACAGTAGTGGTAGAACAGTCCTCACAGTGAATATCAAAGTCAACAAGTACACAATTGAAACCCACAAATCTGAATAAACGCTAGAAAGAAAAAGGTACAAACTGCAAGTGGAAAAGCCGTCTCAAGAAATCATCAACGGTATGTTTATGGGATATAGATTAATATCTTTAAAACAATATTGCCAAAAAAGAACAATTGTTCAACTTAAAAACGGTCCTTAGTAACGGCTAAGCAACAGAATGTACACCACTCAAAATCAAAGTCAGTAGCCTTGAATTCCACAACGAGAGAGAATGTAGTGGTGGGGAAGGGGGCATAGAAATGGGGTAACGAGAATTAAGGGGAAGGAATATTTAAAGAAACGATGGCAAAATTTTTTCCAGAATTGGTATCCTAGGATTTCAAAGAACTCATTTGAATGCCAACAAATGAAAGAGATCATAATCACATGTGATGACATCCTAAAATTACAAGTGAAGGGATAAGATTATTGCAAAGTAGTGAGAATTGGGTTGACAGCAAAACTAAATGTCAAAAAATGACTAGGGCTGGGTGCCTATAATCCCAGCATGTTGGGAGGCTGACATGGGGGCTAGGATTGCCTGGTCCCAGTTCACAACCAGCAACATGGTGAGATGCTGTCTCTCTTTTTTTTTTTTTTTGAATTGGAGTCTCACTCCATCACCCAGGCTGTAGTGCAGTGGCAGGCTCAGGGCCACCGTGGCCTCAACCTGCTGGGCTCAGGTGATCCTTCCGCCTCAGTCTTCCAAGTAGCCGGAGCTACAGATGCAAGCTACCACGCCTGGCTAATTTTTTTGATTTATTGTAGAGGCCAGGTCTTGCCAAGTTGCCCAGGTTGTTTCCCGAACCGGTGGGCTCCGGCAGTCCGCTTGCCTCGGTCTCCTAAAGTGCTGGGATGACAGGCTTGAGCCGGTGCCTGGACTTCGTTTTTTTAATTAGCCAGGCATGGTGGTGTGCACCTATATTCCCACTTGAGCCTGGGAGTTTGAGGCTACAGTAAGCTATGATTGTGTCACTCCACTCCAGCCTGGGAGACACAGGAAGCATCCTGAACAGGCAGGAGTCAGCCTGTCTAGGCTTTGGTCCTCTGTTAAGAATATTGCCTCTCAGATGTGTTCAAGGTAAGGGGGTGGGGGAGCAGGTATGAAATGAGATTTGCATTTTGAAAAGATCACTGGCTACATGATTTGTAATAAAAATTAAGCTATTTTCATAGTACAGATACGCGGTCATTATGTTGGACTGTTGAAAGTGGCTGGAGAACATATCTGAAACAAATTCTTAAGAGCATATTGACAGCTTGTGAATGGGTTTAGACAGGAATTGTGGGTAATGGAGACAGCCGTGTGCTTCCGGCTGGCTTGTGTGGAGTCCGGTGCTGCTGTTACTCCTCTCATCCGTCCACTCGTGAAAACCTAATAAACTCTTGACATAATCTCAGAATTACAGAAAACTTGCGATGGTACACTGAATTCCTGTATGCCCTTTACTGAGATCACTCAAATGGTAACATTACATTTGCTTGACCTCTTTTTCTGAGTGCAGTTGAAATTGGATTGCTGACACCATGCCCCTTTTACCCCTAATTACATCAATACATCAAACATGTATTTCTTAAAAAACAAGGACATTCTCTTACGTAGCCACACAGTTACCAAAATCAAGAAGTTAATGCCATCTGCTAATCTACAGACCTTATTCAAATTTCACCAATTATCCCTATAATGGTATTTACAGAAAATTGCGATCATTCGTTGTACTTGGTTGTCAGGTCTCTTCAAAGTCGTATCTGAAACTGTTTCACTGTCTTGTCATTCATAACTTTGTGTAGTTTGATAAATATAGGCCCTTAAGTTGGTTTTGTCTGGTATTCCCTCAAGATGAGACCATTTTTAAACTCACTACAATGTGCCTCTTCCCCACTTCCTTGTTGCCCAAAGTCAGCAGTGACGTTGCAGTTGCAAAATCTAATGGACAGCACAGGATAAAGCTGAGCTCAGTGACAACGCGCACAGAGATCTGTCTGCTTACCTTCACACCGTTTACCCTACGGGAATACCAAACGACTGGTAGATACTGGAACCCATCATGCACTGTTCATGTCTCCGTGACAGGGCATGTGTTTTCATACTTGAAAGTCTTTACTCAATATGGGCCAAAAGTCTTTGAATCACCTAGAACCTTGCAGAAATGCAGAATCTGCATTCTAACGCTATCCCTCAAGTAATCTGCATGCTGAAGTTTAAGAACACTTCACCCTTCTTGTGTTCTGGATTGGAACACTTTACTCTTCTTCCTCTGCAAATTTCAATTAAGTAGTTGAAGCTGTACTTGGATCACTATATCTGTGGAATTCCTCTCCTTGCCATATTTCATCTGCCTTAATTGCTCTTTTGCTGCCTTCTCCTAGGTGGAGTCACATATTCCCTCTTCTTTATAGAATATTTGTATCATACATGTATGCCCATCACACTATAGTCAATAGTTATTTGTTTCCCCATGTTATAATTTTGATTTCCTGTGATTCGCCTTTGATTTTCAGCACTCTTGCCTGACACACAGTAGATGCTCAAGAAGTGCTGAATGCTAATTTTACTTAATTCTGCAGAAATCACTAGGAGTAAAATTAACAGCTAGCTGTTTAAGACATATATAGGGTGAAATTTTTCATTACATTATTGATGTATTTCCATTAATTGTCTGCCTAATACATTTATACTGCCTTATTTTTTAAAGTCAGAAGAGCAATGTTAAAAAATATCTTCTTTAATACAGCATATATTTTCATTTTTGCCTGTTCCCTTTTTTTTTTTTGAGTTGGAGTCTCACTCTGTCGCTTAGACTGGAGTGCAGTGGCCGCTCCCAGCCACCACAGCCTCGACCTGCTGGGCTCCGGCGATCCTCCCACCTCAGCCTTCCAAGTAGCTGGAACTACAGGCACGCGCTACCACACCCAGCTAATTTTTGATTTATTGTAGAGATGAGGTCTCGCCAAGTTGCCTAGGCAGGTCTTGAACCCGCGGGCTCAGGCAATCCACTCATCTCAGCCTCCCAAAGTGCTGGGATTACAGGCTGAGCCACTGAGCCTGGCCCTGCCTATTCCCTTTCAGCCATATACATGCTTTACAATGTATATGTACATGTTTCAAAGAGAAAAATCATAATTTTAATTAAGATAAATACATAATTATATTCTATACCGCACTCACTCTTCATTGTTTTTTCAAATGACCACCTAACATTGCTGAAACAGTATCAGTTATTCCCTAGCTGGTGGAAATGATAGTTATTATTATAATCATCAAGATACTGCTATTATGGACATTCTTAAGATATTCATCTTCTTGGATACATTTTTTTTTCTTTTTGAAAAAAGTTTAGTCTCAGGATAAATTCCAACAAGTGGAATTATACCATTAAAAAAGCACCTTAATATAACCTATACTTTCCTGTATTTCTTTGGGTTTATCCCCCTAAGTATAGACCATTTTTCTTCATCCTAGGTGCTTTTGTTTTTGTTCTTGTTTTTTTCTTTCTCTTTAACTTTTCACCGTAGAAAATTTTCAAACACAAGAGGAGACTAGAATAGTGAACTGTGTGCCTGTCTTTCAGCTTCAGCAATAATCAACTCATGATGAGTCTTGTTTCATCTCTCTCCCATCAGCTTTTCCACTACAGCATTTTAAAGCAAGTCCAAACATATCTTCTCATCTGCATATTTGTCAGTGTGAATCACTAACAAACTAAACAAAGTGTATATGGGTGTATGTGTTTATGTAACCATAATGCATTATTACATCTAACAAAATAACAGTAATTCATATCCAACAACTAAACCATGTTTAAATTTGTCTGTTTCAAAAACTGTGTGTATACTCATAGAGTTGATTTGTTCACATCAGAATCTCAGCAGGGTCGACACGTTGCATTTGGTTGACATAAGGGTAAACGTTACATGGTTGTAAATGTACCCAACACAGAAGTAAAATATCTTCTTTCTCTTATACCACAAAATTCTTTGATGAGTATGTTTCCATCCTGACCGAAACTTGTAAGATTTTTTAAGGCTGCCTGTTCCAGTGTAGTATAAGGTCAGCCACATCCCTATTACTGTTTTCACGTTGTTACTACTTTCTCATTACCACAAAAAATGTTAAGATGAACGCAGCTGTAAATAGAGACTGCTTCATATTTAAGATTAGGCCAGATTATTGGAATAATGTGGTCAGATTACAGAATTAACAGTTCAGTAAAAATTTATTATGAGAAGGCACAAAAGTAAACAAAAGTTTTTTAAAAAAATTTTAATTAGTTAATTTTCTTTGAGTCAGAGTCTCACTCCGTCACCTGGGCTGGAGTGCAGTGGCATACTCATGGCCACGCCAGCGTTGACCCACTGGGCTCCAGTGATCCTTCTGCCTCAGCCTTCCAAGTAGCCAGAACTACAGGTGCATGCTACCATACCCGGCTGAGAGTTTTTTTTAATCACACAGAGTTTATTAAAAGATACATAGTTTGCGGCCGGTACACAGGCTTGCACCTGTAATCCTGGCCCTTTGGGAGGCCAAGGTAGGAGGATCACTTGAGCCCAAGAGTTTGAAATGAGCCTGGGCAGCACAGTAAGCACATGCCATAACCCTCCTCCACCCTCACAAAAAAAGTCAGCAGGGTGTCGTGTGGCTATATTCCTAGCTCCTTGGGAGGCTGAGGCAGGAGGATTGCTTGAGCCCAGTAGGTCAAGGCTGCAGTAAGCCATGATTGTGCGACTGCATTCTAACCTGAGTGACAGTGTGTCACACACACACACACAAACAACATACAGCTTGGAGGTCTGGTAATGCATCTTACAGTGCTTCCCAAAAGGCTTTTATTGATTCTGAAATTATCTGAAATATTCGAGAGTGCAGGATTTACTGTACTCATGCCAGAAGTGATGATTATGATGTCAAAACTATGTTATCGGCAAAAACGTAAACATTTGTAGTGTCTGATGCATGAGCTCTCAGTTAATGTTACCTATTACCATTTTCATTATCATCATCATCTTCAAGTCCATCTACTGCTATTTCGAGACATCCATTTTTAACATTTAACTCTTTAATCTGTCTGAAATGTATTTTAATGTTTACATGTCTTACAATGCTGCATGAGGTAGGGATCTCATTTTCGTTTTTATTTCTTCCAAAGCGTCCTTATTTAATGCCACTAATTACAGAGGAAAGTTAGTTATTTGAAGTGTGGCTCGGAGGCAGACTGCTTGGGTTTGAATTCTGGCCCTTCCGTGATTCAACTATGATTTGGGAAAGGCTAGTCAAGGAGAATAATAATAATTCTTACTTTACAGGGTTGTACAGATTAAAGTAATCAACTGATATAAAGCCCTTCAGCCAGTGCTGGTATACAAGGAATGCTTCATAAGAATTTGTTGCTATTGTAATTATCACTTAACAGTGTGCAGGCTGTTGTTTGCACACTGGTAAGAAATACCCTCTTCATGATATGATGAACCCTTGAGTCTATCTCTAGGCTTTTAAAATAAAATCATCTTGGTCTGGCTTCTGTCAGAACCACCGTAGTTTTATGAAATATTTTTCCTAAAGACCACCATTTTTTAATGATTATCACGTAATAGTACATTGTGATATGTGACACCTCCTCCTATTGATCATTTAAAAATGTGATTGACTATTCTTCAACATTTCCCTCTGAGATAAACTTCTGTGATTCTTATTAGAATTATATTTATAAGTTAATTTGGGGGAAATTGACCTCTTGAGTTACTACTTTCTCCTGACAGGAACAGGGTTATATCTCTTTATATAAAAACATCCTCTATGTTTCTCAGTAAACTTTTGATGTGTTCTTATTGTAGGCCTTTTGTTAAGTTTGATCTGAAATATTCTATGTTTTCATGGGTTTGGGGAAATTTATTCCTTTACATATGCTATCTAGTTACTACTGGTACTTATAAAGCTTCTGATTTTTATAAATGTGTTTTATAATAAAACTCTAAGTATAACAGGTATTCATTTGACTCTTCAGTTTTTGAGGTAGATGATTACCTCATCTGAAAATGCATTACCTTAGTTTGTATGACTTTTTAATGTTAAGAATTTAACTATGTAGACAATCAAAAATATGTTGATGATTTTCTTTATTCTTCTAATTGCATTCAAGCATTGACAATGTCTTTATCCCCATTCAAAGCACTCTAAGGAGTTTCATTATAATGTATTCAAATTTTATTGTATGGTTTTAATATTTTACTTTAAATTCTTGGAATTAAGTAGAATTTATTCTGATTCATGGTATTAAATGAGTATGTAATAAACCTTTGTTGAGAAAGACTAACAAAAATGTTCATTGGATGGTCACCACTTTCCCACTGATACACAGTTCTTTCCTGATCATATAATAAACAATGCAGTTTATTTCCTAAATATAAGCAAAACAGAATCTACACTCTTGTAGGTTTTTGACATACCATGATTTTCTCAATACTTATTCCAGTAATTGCTTTTATAGTTTTCTCTGTTTAGTCTTCTCAATGGGGTTTAGAATTAGTTTAAGTTAACCAAATTCTATTAGAACTTCCAGTTACGTTGCATTCAACATATGAACTAGTAGGAAGAACTGATATTTTTATTACTCTCACCAAACAGAATGCTGTTTCTCCTCATTTATTTAAACGTTCTATTTTGTTTATGAATAATACTTAATAATTTTCATTGAGTGGGTGTCACACATTTCTTGTGAAGAATGTGCCTGTGTATTTTTATTCATGTGCATGACTCATGAAAAGTGAATATTAAAATTAAGGACTTACATTTATCCTTTTATTAAATTTTATTTTCTTAGAATGCAAAAATAATAAGTATAAACAATGTAAAAAGCATATAAAGTACAAGAACTGAAAATGTGACATACCAGGTGATGGAAATATGGTACAGTCGCCTACAAATTTATTTTCAGCTAGACTTCCTTTCATTTCCGTCTTTTTTAACAATGTTTCAAAGTGAAAATGAAGAGGCACATCTGGAAAAATAAAGTTAAAAAGATATTTACAGTGAACACCACTCTTCACAGCCTGTAAGATGACTTTCTTTCTACAAATAAGCTTTAAAAAATAAGCAAATCTTGCTCATCTATCAGAAGTGGTGAACTACTCTTTCCAAGCATATTGGTAGCATTATTACTGATTAAATGTACTGAATAAACAAACAAATTGAAAAGCTAACAGGTGAATGAGTTCACGAACTTCCTAAAACAGTGCATAAGATGAGCAGTAATTGGAAATATAAATAAATACTAGTAATAGATGATTGGAAACAAATGTACTCAAGAGGTCTTTAAGAAAACCTACAGCAAACCCTGGCTGACTCTAAATCCATTCCGCCCCACACTTTGCATTTGAAATAATGAGGTTTCCAGAATGCATAATTATATGGTTTTTATTACCTGGGGGGTGGGGGCACTATAATTGAAATGCGACCTTGTACAAAAACATCAAAGTTCACATTCCCTTAGTTCGCTAAGATGATAAATCACAAATGAATCTACTTTTACAAACATCAAAACTAGTTCTCTTTCTTTAAAAAGCGACTTAGAGACATTCAGCTTGCTATGTTTATGTTCTAGCCTGTCAAAACCAATGAGGAGCTAAGTAATTAAGTAAATGTGCTTCATTACCTAATTAATAAAATTAATTAGTTAAAGAGTTTTTTCTTTCAAGAATGTGAAAACATGCACACTGGTAATGAATAAGTGTAAAAATAAAAATGTAAAAACAAAAATCATTTTTGAAAGCATCTATTACTAGACACACATACACTTTTCCCTAAGAAACATAAAGACATATTTTATAAGGCAGTTGATATATTGGAAGTGTTACTACTGAAAGAAGGTACTTATTTTTAAGAAAACTAATTATGAACACATAAATCAGGATAGACCCAGGAAGGGTCTGGATTTTAAACAAGGAAAAGATGTCTCTCTCTTGCAAATGATGTATTTTAATGGGAAGTGTAGAAAAATAGGCAAAACAAAAATTGGTTCATGAGTAACATCAAGGAGTTTGTCCCAAGGCACAGAGGTAGGATAGGTTGGAATCCTAGCATTATAATACGACATATGAAAACTATATGACAAAATTAAAATAAAATATATATTTATATATTATATCTCTCTTAAGATGCTGCTTAAACATTTCAGGATTCTGTTAGTTTCCTAAACATAATTTTGTTTGTTAACAATTAAATTTATTTCTCCAAAACAATATTATTTACTGTTAGAAAGAGAACATCACTCATTCTGCCACTGTTCTTTGAGCTGTGGGGAAAAAATGGTGTAACGAGGGAAGGTCCTTGTTCCATGTATATATATTTTTTAGTACCTACGGTGTGACCTGTCAACTTTTATAAAGATATTTCTTATCACTTTATTGTACTTAGTATTATTATTATTAGAAAGCAGGATTTATCTAGAGGACAGAAAAGCTCCCACGGTGGGAGGGGACCTGAATGGGTTGCCCGTACTTATTATTTATACTCCAGCTATCTTAAACTAGAATACAAGCACCTTGAGGGATTTATTTTTATTTATACTCCTAGCACCTACTTAGTAGGTATTAGGGTTTTTATTAAATGAATGCAAGAAGGAATGGCAAACCCTAACTAATATAGTAAATAAATACTCTAATCTTATTTAGAGGGGGAATATGAGTCTTAGGATAAAGGATGTTTTTTCCAGTTCTCAGTGTTCTATCAATTGCTAATAAGAAAACTAGGAGTCTGGTTCTGGAGACCGACTAACTCAGATGAAATCCAGTTCATCATTCATTAGCTGAGTGATCTGGGATAAGTAATCTCTAATCCTAATTTTCCTGTACGTAAGATGAAGAGGACAAAAATATTCTCATGTAGTTGTTAAGAATTAAATAAGAAAACATGATGTGTTCAGTATATAAAGGGCCCAGTGTATACTCACACTAAATGTGAGCTGCATTATTATTGTTACATTGACTGCTTCCTTCTATTATTAAGGTTTTCTCACAGATAGTACCCGTGAAGTACTTATTTCAAAGTAGGGTGTAGCTGAAAGGTCCCTCTACTACTTGTGAAAACTAAATTGAGATTCAGGGTAGTAGGATAGGTACAAAACATAGTGCTTTACAAAGACCAGTACCTTGATTTTGAGAACGTAAAAGATGATTAGAATCACAAGCTGAAAAGGAAAAGCCCATTTGCGATCTCCCCCAATAAAGAGAAGAGCCTGAGATAACTACTGTGAAGGGTTTTTCCTTTCCCCCCTGAATATTTACTTCAGTTCCAACATAGACAAGACTGTAAACCCCCTCCCCCCCAAAAAATTAAGAATTAGAAGTGAAAAACCACTTTAGAGATGTGGGAGTGTACATGCCTCCTTTATAGATTATATATACTCTTGAGGCTCGAAAGTCGACTATACTTGTAGATAGACGGTTTTCTTCCCTCTTGGAGAAATTCAATGCAGGTTATAAATGGAGGAATATACAGTACGGAAAACTACACGCAAAACAGAACATTAGAAAAAGAATGCTGAATTATTATTACATTTTAACAGCACAGCCATGTTACCAATAAAATGCCCAAAATTTAACAAAAAAGATGAAAAACTAGTTATTTCCCAAAGTAAATAAAATTGGATTGGAAGGAATTAAAGCATCAACTTACACAGATAGAACATTAACTCCACATGTGACTAGATTAATTCCTCTATGAAAGCTGCACTATTCCTCTATGAGATCTTTGACTAGTTGTTCTGATATCTAGTGACAAAATAATTGATAAAATTTTTATTGATTCTTTGTATTCATAGGATTAGACTGCACTACAGAAAATATCCAGAGTTACTTAGAAATTTTTATGAGGAGGCTTACCTGACGGCAACGAAAGAACAGAATGGAAAGAGGAATCTAACTCTGATACATGTTCTCTTAACCGCTGAGACTTTGAATTGTGTTCACAGCTACTCCAAGTTGAAGGTGACTGCAGACAAGGAATTTGTGTAGTATTTAAAAATGCTGTTTCTTTTGAAGGCAACGTCTGCAAGGAAGAAAAATAAAGACAATTTTTGCTTGAAAACTGAATGAGAGATAGTATAATAGCTATCATACAGTATATGAAAACACCAGAAGAAAGTCCTGGATTAATATTAGTAAGTCACCTTGGAGGAAGAGCTTCAAAATGACATAGAATAGGTGAGAGAAGTTATTGATGAACTGGCTATGAATCTAGTGAGATCTGACTAGCCCCTTTTCAGTTTTTCAAAATGAATAGTAATGTCTATGAAAATGGGACATTCTTTTATTTTAGGAAATCACAGTAAAGAGAAAATAATCCATGGATATGGCATATTTCTATATTTTTATAGGTCATCTTTAATTTCAATAAGATTTTATAATTGTCTTGTATGAAAGTCATATATTTTGTTAGATATATTTCTAATTAACTAATTATATCAATTGTAAAAGGGACTTAGAAACACAATTAACTTTTATATATTGAACGTATTCTACAATTTTGCTAAACTTTCTTATTCCAATTATATAAGCATATTAGTTGCAAATAATAACAGTTTAATTTCTTTCATTCAGTCCTAATAGCTTCTTTATTATTTAGGGGGTTCCAACTATGCGGGATGAGTTCACCAGTTCAATAATGAATAGAAATTACCAAAGAAATTACCATTCTTGTTTTATTCCTGATTATAATGGGAATGCTTGCTTAATTTATCAGAATGAATAATGATGTGAATTGCAGGATTTTTTATTTTTATTTGTGGTATGTTCTTTATGAGGATGTATTACTAGCTTGCAAAAGAATTCTTTAAAAACATATTAATGTCAAATTTAATCATATGGTTTTTCTGAACCTATTAAAATGATTACATGGTTTTTCTTCTCTCATTTATTAATGTGGTGAGTTGCAGTAACATATTTTTAAATGTCAAGTCAAACTTACATTTATCAAGTTTATTAGCCTTTTCAAGGCACCAGTCATTGGACTTGTTGACTTACTTTATTGATTGTTGTATATTTCATTGATTCCTACCCTGCTTTCTTTAAGATTAATCAAATATTTGTTATATTTTCCTCACTACTAACTTATTTATGCATTCTTTTACTGTGGTTTCCATAGAGATTACAACATGTATCTTTCACCTACTGGCTTTTACAGTACAACACAAATTACTCCTTTTACTACTTCCCTGAAAACACTGGGACATTAGAACGCTTCAACTCCATTTACTTGCCTCTTTCTTTCTGTGCTTCTACTGTAGGCATTTTAATTCTATGTATATTTACAGTCCCACAATATATTGCCATTATTGTTTTTATAATCAACATTCATGTATACTACCGATAGATTTATCCCTTCTCACTGCTCTTAGCTCTGCCCTACAATTCCCTACTTCTATCTGGTATCATATTCTTTCTCCCTTTACTATTATTATTGTATAGATTTGCTATGAGCAAATTCTCTCAGTTTTGAACATATTTCATAATATTTTTGTGGATGTAGAATTCCTGTTTGGATTTTTTTTTTCCATTCAGTACTTTAAGGATACTTTCATTCTTATGGCTTCCACTGTTTCTGCTGATTAGTTAGCTGTTGGTCTTATTGTTGCCCCCAGTTGAAGGAAATGTGCCTTTTTTACTCTGGTTGTTTTTACTATTTTCTTTCTGTCTTTGCTTTGATAGTAGGCTTACTGTAAGATGTTGTCTTAGTCCATTTGGGTTGCTATAATAAAATACCATAATCTGGGTGGCTTATAACATAAATTTATTTCCCACAGTTCTGGGTGCTGGAAAGTCATAGATCAAAATGCTAGCAGGTTTAGTGTCCAGCAAGGGTCCACTTTCTTATAGGTAGATAGTCATCTTTTTGCTGTACCCTCAAATGGTGGAAGCTGAGGGAGCTCTCTGGAGTTCCTTTTATGAGGGTACTAATTCCATTCATGAGGGCTCTCCCTTATAACCTAATAACCTCCCAAAAAGCTCCATCTCCAAATAGCATCACAGTGGGGATTAGATTTCTGCATAAAATGTTTGGGGGTATGTATTTATCCTACAGCATTCCACTGCATTCCCCCAATATACATGTCTTCACATGCAGAATACATTTATTCCATTCCCACAACCCCCAAAGTCTTAACTCATTCCAGCATCAACTCAAAAGTCCAAAGTCAAAAATGGCATCTAAATCATATATGAATGAGACTCAAAGTATAATCCATTCCAAGGCAAATTCCTTTCCAGCTGAGAACCTGTGAAACCAGATAGGCGTGTGATTTCAAAATACAATGGTGGGGTATAGATAGGATATATATTTCAATTCTAAAAAAAAGAGATAGGAAAGAAGAAAAAAATGGCAGGTCCCATCTCTACAGCTATTACCAATTAAATTCCTGAGCCTGTGACTCTCACAGGAGGTGATTCTGCCTCTGCCATTCTTGCAAACTGGAGTTACACACCTGTGGTTCTCCCAGGCTAGAATTGTGCATCAGTGGCTTTGTCGGTCATGGCCCAAACCACAGTTGCCTATGTGCCAGCAGAGACTGTGCCATGCAGACACCATCAACAGTTTCCTACTTTATCCTCTGGAGGGGTGGTCACCACAGCCTGCGCTTCACTAGGATCCACTGGAGCCACACCTGGTTGGCCAAGACACCAGTGTGGGGAGCAAAGCCAATGATGTGAGGTACCATTGGGTAGTGCAGGCTTAGGTGGCCCTGCATTTGAAACAGCTTTGCCCTAAGGGCCTTTGCATTCTGGTCCTGTGGTAGGAGGGCAGTCTTGATGATCCCCAAATTGTCTTCAGGGTCATTCTTCCATTGTCTTGGTCAATAACACCTAACTTCTGTAGAGATGTCTGATCCATACTAATCTCCTTATCACAAGGTCCCTTAGCCGCACCCTTGATGTCCTCTTCAGAACAGGCTTTCTCATTCTTTACAATATGGATAGGCTAAGAATTTTTCAAATCTTTAAGTTCTGCTTCCTTTTTGATTTCCTTCTTTAAGTCATTTCTCTCCTCTGATATTTTACCATAAGCAGTCAGAAGGAACTAGGCTGATCTTAGCATTTTTCTTAGAGAGTTCTTCAACCAAATATCCAATGTCATTGCTTGTAAGTTTTACCTTCCACAAAACACTCGAGCATGAACACATTTTAGTCAAACTCTTTGCCACTTTATAATGTGAATTATGTTTCTTCCAGTTTCCAATAATCTGTTCCTCATTTCCATCTGAGAGTTCATCAGAATGGCCCTTAACATCCATATTTCTACTAACATTCTATTCAGGTTTATTTAGATATTCTCTAAGGAGACTGAAGCTTTCTCTATAGCTCTCTTTTTTCTTTTTGAGTGTGTACCAGAATCACCTTTAAGGATCTATTCACAGCAATGTAGGTGTTTTCTAGTATGTACGCCAACTCTTCCAGATTTAATCCGTTCCCCAGTTCCAACGCTGCTTCCACCTTTTCAGGCATTTGTTACAGCAGTACTCTCACTTCTCAGTACAATAATCAGATCCAAGAGAAAAAGGAAAAGTGGGGGATAGGAAGTTCGTTACAGGAAATAGCTCACACAAAAATGAAGGTCAAGAAGACTCATGATCTGCTGTTTACAGAAAATCTGGTGGTACAGCTCATTTGGAATCTGAAGGCCTCAGAACCAAAGGAGCTAATGGTGTAAATCCCAGCCTGAGTCCAAAGGCCTTAGGATCACAGGGCCAGTGATGCAAGCTCAAGTCCAAAGGCTTGAACTTTAGGAGTGCCAATGTCCAAGGAAAGAAGATGGATGTCTTGTCTCAAGTAGAAATGGTAAATTCATCCTTCCTTCACCTTTTGGTTCTATTCATGTCCTCAACAGATTGAATGATGTCCACTTGCATTGGTGAGGGTGATCTTCCAGCCTAATGACTCAAAAATCATAATCTCTTCTTGATGGGCCCTGTCAGTTATTAACAGAAATAATGTTTTACCAGCTATCTGGGCATCCCTTATCCCAGTCAAATTGACATGTAAAATTTACCATCACATATGCCTTAATTTCTAAGTATTTGTTCTTTTTGAGGTTCACAGAACTTCTCAACTTCATGAGTTGATGGTCATTTATTAGTCTGGGGAATCGTTTTTTCCTTCAAAAGTTAATTCTGCCCTATTCCCACTCCTTTTTTTTCTAGACTCCAATAACATATACAAAAACATGAGTGTTTCCCTCACACATTTCTCTGTTTTCTGTATTCTTTCATTGTTTTACCTTTGTGCTTCCATTTTAGTATTTTCTATTAAGTAATCATTTACCTCTCTAATCCTATCTTTTGCTTTATCTAATTTGTAGTTAAATTCATCTGATAAGGCATTAATTTTCCATATTTTCAGTTTGAGAATGATCATATAATTCTTTCTTTCAAATGGATTCTGATTATCAGGTGAAATCTATTTGTCTATTCTATCTTTCCTCTATTTTTTGAACATATTAATCACAATAATTTAAAAGTTCTTGACAGCTAAATATAATACAAGAATCCCTTGAGGAACTATCTTTATTGTCTCTTTTTACTCTTGAATTTGGTCATGTAGTCCTTTTTGGAATAAGACAGCATCTTATAGTAAGTCTGCTATAAAAGCAAAGACCCAGAAAAAATATTAAAAGCAGCCAGGGTGAAAAAAGCACTTCTCACAATTTGGCAAAAGGAAGGTGGTTCAAGTAAGGAGTAACAGTCTAGCTGATTTGAAGAGACAGATGTTAGAGTTGGGGCAGAACACAGTAGCTATGATTTGAAGAACAGAGTGTCAGAAAAGAAGTTTATGCAGAGCAAGAGTTCCAGAAATCCACATAGGCTGTCTTTCAGTCTTTTGCTAAATAATAATCTATATAATGCATGCATTAAAATTATACTAGCCCAGTTTACGAACAATTAATTTCCAGGGACTGGAAAAGAATGACATGAAAAACTAAAAGAATAAAAAATATATGTAAGAAACAAAAAACAAATGGCAAGAGGTAGATTTAAGCCTAATCCTATCATGATTACA